TTGAGTTTTTATATTTTTAGATATATGTATTAATATTTAATAAAATAATTTTTCAAATTTTAAATTAAATTTTAATTAAATAAAATAACATATTTTAAAACTAAAATTACAATTATTTTTTAAGATTCAGATGTAATATGCACATCCGAGACGAATTGGATGACACGTTAGCAGTATGAATTTAGTTCGAATTGACACGGGTCACACGACACTATTTCGAGCGCCTCAAGGAGCGAAGGAAAATGCTCGCATACTCAATAACGATAAGTAAAAGTTTACGGACCAAACAGAAGCTCCATATGGCGAATTTCGGTGATTAGCGAACCATCGGAAAGTGACCAGCAATGGTGCACAGTGCCTATGATTGCTTCGAGCTCCTCGGCGGCTCCCCTACCAAAATCGACGCCATCGAATCCTATGGCTCGAAGCTCTTCCTTGGTTGCTCTGACGGTTCTCTACGAATCTATGCTCCAGACTTTGCCGGCTCCGAGCTATCCCCACCGTCCGATCAACATGTGCTGCGAAAGGAGCAGTATGCTCTGGAGAGGACTGTGGTTGGATTCTCGAAGAAACCTATCGTCTCGATGGAGGTATTGGAATCGAGAGAGCTGCTCTTGTCGCTTTCCGAATCTATCGCGTTCCACCGGCTGCCTAGCTTGGAAACAATTGCCGTGATCACCAAAGCGAAAGGCGCTAATGTGTACTCGTGGGACGATCGGAGGGGGTTCCTCTGCTACGCCAGGCAAAAGCGAGTACATATTTTCAGGCATGATGGTAAATTCCTACGTTACTTGTTTTTTTGGCTAGTAATTTTGTAGCAACAGGACCTCAAATTGACAAAAGAATAATGAAAATGTGCTGAGAACTTCTATTGTTGTTTGCTGATATACTTATGCTTTGGTTATGTAATCCAGTCGAAGATTTTGGAACTAATTGTAATTCTCTGCTGTCTGCTTGATGAAATTGATATGTAAATGCTGTTTAGGAGGAGGAGGATTTGTGGAGGTGAAAGATTTTGGGGTTCCAGACACAGTGAAGTCAATGTCATGGAGCGGGGAGAATATATGTCTAGCTATTAGAAAGGAGTACGTGATACTAAATGCCACGAATGGCGCATTGTCAGAGGTATTTCCTTCAGGGAAACTAGCGTCGCCTTTAGTGGTATCTCTTCCCTCTGGGGAACTTCTTCTTGGGAAGGTACATGTTTTTTTTATTTTTTATTTGTTAATTTTTACTCGTCTTCTTGGTTGGACTTTGCATGATTACATGTTTTGTTGTAATAAATGCTTACATATTTATCCCTCGAAGTATTTTGGAACTGAATTTTCAAGTTTGTTTTGTATCTAACGTGTAGGAATATTGCAAATAGTCTAAATTTGAAGTTGTGGGTATCCTCTTCTTAGGGATATATTCTGCATTAGGTATAATCAGACACTGCATTTTAAATATATTCTCTTTTCAAATTTTTTCTTCTTCTTATTCTGATCTTTTACTTTGTATAATTCATAAGTGAGCTCAGTACTAAGGGGGAGGTCAAATGGTTAATTTTGAAGGGTCTTGATTTGTTAGGTTTGATTCTTTGGTATATCGTTGTTTCCTATAGGAGAATATTGGAGTCTTTGTGGACCAAAATGGAAAGCTTCTTCAAGCTGACAGAATATGTTGGTCAGAGGCTCCTACAGCTGTTATAATCCAGAAGCCATATGCAATAGCTCTGTTACCACGGCGTGTTGAGGTAGGCTGACTGAATACTTAGCAAGATGATATGTATCCTTCTTTTGAACTCCTACCAGACTTGTGCATTTATGCATTTTCAGTTATTTGTTGTTTGCAGGTTCGGTCTCTTCGAGTTCCCTATCCGTTAATACAGACTGTTGTCCTTCAAAATATCCGCCGTCTTGTAAAAAGCAACAATGCTGTAATTGTAGCATTAGACTACTCTGTATATGGACTCTTCCCTGTCCCTCTTGGTGCGCAGGTATGAGTATTGTTTGAAAGTTGGATGCACAACTTTCTCCTGAAATGTATGAAACCAATAAACTTGTTGCACAACTGGGAAGCCTTTGAGCTTTTAGATAAATTATGGTTTTTTATTTTCTTTTTGGTTTGCATTTGGTGTCCTATTTTGCCCTTACCTTGTAACTTTGTGATGTTATTGTCCACAATATGCATTGGCCAACTCTAAAGAATTTGCCAATTATTGCATTAAGAAATTCACATTGGCATTACAGATTGTACAATTGACAGCATCAGGCAATTTTGAGGAAGCTTTGGCTTTGTGTAAGTTGCTTCCACCAGAAGATTCAAGCCTGAGAGCTGCAAAGGAGGGGTCAATTCATATAAGGTAATCTTTTGTGTTAACAGCCATTACCATGTGCAACAATGTTAAGTGAAAATGATACAATTTTATATTCTATTTTCAAGTTTGCTTGCTAACATTTGGAACAAATTCATTTGTAGACAATCATCTCATTTTTAAATTTCAATGTCATCTTATCATTGGCAAATTACTGATATTACTTTTATCTCTAGTTAATTACAATTGTGTTACCCTGTTACAGATATGCTCATCATCTTTTTGATAATGGGAGCTATGAGGAAGCAATGGAACATTTTTTGGCTTCTCAAGTAGATATTACCTATGTGCTCTCTGTATATCCATCAATTGTTCTTCCTAAAACAACTGTGATTCCAGAACCAGAGGGGATAGTGGACATGTCTTTGGATGCTTCACATCTCCAAAGAGGTTCATCTGGTCTCTCAGATGATATGGAATCCTCACTTCCTCCTCAGCCATCAGAATTTGATGAGAATACTGCACTTGAGTTCAAGAAAGTGAACCATAATACTCTCGTGGCTCTTATTAAGTTCTTGCAGAAGAAGAGATTTGGTATTGTTGAAAAAGCTGCCTATGAGGGAACAGAGGAGGTTGTTTTAGATGCTGTTGGAGATGGCTTTACATCAACTAGATCTAAGAAATCCAACAAGGTGAATCTGATTTCTATTTTTAAATGTCTAAAATTTTCCTAGGTCAAATTATCATACTCTATTAGCTTTGTATACTGTAATTCTGCTTTTTGCAGAAATTAGACTAGCTTTTGGATAAAACCTGTTTAATGTATTGAGTTTCAACGCAATGTGTTAATTAAAGATACTTGCAATTATTCCTTAATTGCCATTTTCATCATCCATTATCTTGTAATAATCTAATATTATATTTTGCTTGTTAGGGTCGTGCTGTTGCTTCTATTAACTCAGCTGCTAGGGAGATGGCAGCAATACTGGATACAGCCCTCTTCCAAGCTCTGGTTCTTACTGGACAATCTTCAGCAGTGTTGGATTTACTGAAAGGTCTTAACTATTGTGATGTAAAGATATGCGAGGAGATTCTTCAGAAAGGGAATCACTATGCTACTTTACTAGAACTTTACAAAAGTAACTCAACGCACCATAAAGCCTTAAAACTTCTGCATCAATTGTTAGAGGAATCAAAATCAAACCAATCACAAGGGAACCTCACCCAAATGTTCAGTCCTCAGGCAATTATTGAATATCTCAAGGTAAGTGTTTTTTGTTTAATGAGTTTTGATGTTGTCCTTATTTCCATTTAAGTATTTTTAATATGTTTTATCAACATTATGTTTATGGGCTGCACTTTGTTACCTGTGCTCTTCATTTTATTCTAATATATCCTTTTCAGAAATTTAAAACTGTACAGACATGACACTTGGGTCCTTCAAAATAAAGGACAAACCTAAAAAAATAAAAAATAAAATAAAAAATAAAAAATTGTTATACCCTTGGACACTTACCCAGTGTTGGACTCCTGTTCCCATTTCCATCAAACTTAGGGTATGGAAACGTGGTTTCTGAATCATCCATCTTTCTGGAAATGCTGAAGCAACTGATTCTAAACAGCAATTTTAAAAGTTTCTTTCATTAATATTTTTAAAGTGCTAGCTTCTTTGTGTTATCTTTTATTTTATTTGTCTTTTCAGTAGAATGGTAAGTATAGCATTACTCCAAAACTCCCCAAGAGGGGGTATGTAGTATGTACAACTTACTCCCAGGCACCCCAGGGTATGAACATCCTCTTAACAAAGCTAATAAAAAATGTTGTCAAACAATCAATGAAAGGCTATCAAGGTAACATGTTAACCATGTGCAAAGTGCTCCTGCTAATACTCTCAGGATCTCTAGTAATATGCTGGAATATACTCTTCTGTTCGTTTCCTGCTCAAATGGAATACATAACCTCAGCCAGTGCTTTCTGAACCAGTTCTTCCCAGGAATTTCTCCCAAAAAATGATAATTGTTGTTGGAAATGAAGAAAATAGTTGTTCTCAAGTTCTAACCTTATGAAGCATGCTAATCAGCATCTAGTATGGCTATTGCTTTTCTTTTTGGCGGAACGTTTAAGCCAGGGACAGAAGAATGTCTTAGATTAAAACTGGTATATGCTGAATGCCTTATTTGACTCAATGGGTTTTCATTTACAGCCTCTCTGTGCAACTGATCCCATGCTTGTCCTAGAGTTCTCAACACTTGTACTTGAAAACTGCCCAATGCAAACTATTGAGCTATTTCTGTCTGGAAATATTCCAGCAGACTTGGTCAACTCCTATTTGAAGCAGCATGCTCCAAGCATGCAGGGAAAGTACTTAGAACTTATGCTTGCAATGAATGAAAATGGAATCCCTGGGAGCCTGCAAAATGAAATGGTAAAGACTTGTCAATTTTGTAACTAAACAAGTGCTTGTTGTCATTTAGAGTTACTGCTGCTGACAATTGCTTTTTACTCTGTAATATAGGTACAAATCTATCTCTCAGAGGTACTTGACTGGTATGCAGAACTAAATGCCGAGCAGAAATGGGATGAGAAAGATTATTCCCCAACAAGGAAGAAACTACTGTCTGCTTTAGAGAGCATCTCAGGATACAATCCAGAGGCTCTGTTGAAATGTCTTCCTCTAGATGCCTTATTTGAAGAGCGTGCAATTTTGTTGGGAAAAATGAACCAGCATGAGCTTGCATTATCACTATACATTCAGAAGGTAGATTTTGCTCACAGAAATTATTGGATATGCATCCACCAGTAATTATGATTAATGTTCTTAGCGAGGGTTTTGAGCCAATCAAACATAACATCGGTAATTAAGTCTTTATTCTCTTGACCTTTGTAGCTTAATTTACCTGAACTGGCACTGGCCTACTGTGATCGGATTTATGTGTCTCTGGTTCATCAACCACCTACAAAGTCTTCCGGAAATATATATCTGACTCTTATGCAAATCTATCTGAATCCTCGGAAGACAACCAAGAACATCGAAAAGCAAATTGCAAATCTGGTATCATCTCAAAATACAAATATTCCAAGAGTTGCATCAGGGACTTCATTTAAAGCAAGAGTAGGACGTGCCACTAAGAAAATTGCCTCCATCAAGGGTGCTGAAGATATGCAAGTCGGTCCCAGCAGCACTGATAGTGGCAGGAGTGATGGTGATGCAGAGGAATCTAATGAGGAAGGGGATTCTACTATTATGCTTGATCAGGTTCTTGATCTGTTGAGTCGTAGGTGGGATAGGATTAATGGTGCTCAGGCACTTAAACTCTTGCCTAGGGAAACTAAACTACAGGTAGTTCTTAAATGGATGGATCCCTTGCAGAATTCCTGACCTACCTTTTTCTTGAACCAACTCCAGAACCAGTTTTAATGTGGTCAAACTTTGTCATTTCAATTTAGGCAGGATATGCGAAAGTTCGCAGATAGAGTGAATGGGATTGCCTATTCTTGTTTGTGATAAAAATACTAGTTCACTGACATTTAATTTCATTTTCATTTGCATTGTTTGGCATTGGAAGATCAATGGCTAACTCCTTCCTTAAATTGTTTATCTTTTACCTGCAGAACTTGCTTCCATTTCTTGCACCTCTTCTGAAAAAATCCAGTGAAGCTTATAGAAACTTCTCAGTGATCAAGAGTTTGCGGCAGAGTGAGAACCTTCAGGTATGTTTTACTTTATGGATGCTTTCTGGGGAATGAATTAACAAAATTCTAGATTATACTGCGTGCCCTGATCGTGAGTTGATCATTTTTACGGTCTCCAATCAGCATGCCCATGTGCGTGTTTGTGAAGATTTAGGCAGACTCTACTATAATATTCAGTCTTCATCCTGCATAAGCTTAGCCATTTGTTATGCTTTTACTTTCATTTATCTTGAATGGACTAGTGATTTTTTGTACCCTGTCGTGGCTGTGCAACTAGGTGCCTTTCAGTGTTTATTATTATTATTATTATTATTTGGAGTTATGCTAGCAAATTTATGCCATATCTACATCTTGCATCGAATCAATGTTGCTGAAATCATATGTAAAACAGGTTAAAGACGAACTCTACAACCAAAGGAAAACGTTGGTGAAGATTGCCAGTGATAGCATGTGTTCTCTTTGCAACAAAAAAATAGGAACTAGTGTATTCGCTGTCTACCCCAACGGCAAAACTCTTGTACATTTTGTTTGCTTTAGAGATTCACAAAGCATGAAAGCCGTGGCCAAACCAAGGAAGCGATAGATGGGGTGAATGCTGCCCTTGACTTCTCGTAGGCTCTTTGGTAGACCTTTTCCCTTGCAGTGACTGGCCAGCAAAAAGGAAAACCGCGCAGACAAATAGTAGGATGGATGCCTATCTACTTGATCGAGATCTTGTGCTGTTCTGTAGATATGTGTCAAACTGTCAATTTTGAGTTAAGGTTGATGTAATCTTTTCTTTGTAAAATTTTTAAATTTTGGAATTGGATTATCTATACGAAGAGCATCTTCAATAGAGAATATCATCCCCATCATCTATGGATGAGTAATTAACTAAAAATTATCTTGTAATTAATAGTAGAAAATATCATAAAAATTCTTTTTGTACAACATTTTTAAAATTAATATTATCTTATATAAATTTATATTTTTATATATTTGACTTTTAAATAAAATATTTAACAAAAAATTTTCCTCCAATGCTCTTTTTTTTTTAATCAAAACATTATTATTTTTTTTTAATATAATTATTTATTATATTTTTACATCACACTCTTTTTAAAAGATTTATATATTTTTTTTATTTTTTTTTTATTTTTAATTTGGATCTGCTAATTGTTTGTCTTTGATGATGTTAAGAGGATTGAAGGAGATAATTT